GTCTTCATCATTGTCAGACTTGAAGTATGTAGTTGGATAGAAGGAAGCAAATGCACTTTCTTATTGTTGCTTTTGGCAATGATTGAGAATAAGAAACTATAACAAATATAGACATGCCTCATTCAGATATCTCCTGGCCAATCTAGTCCCACTTTTTGGCTGCCTCTACTACAACAAGGAATGAGAAATGCTAGAAAAAATACTAGCTTTATGATTAATTTCAATTATCAATGTGAAAAATCTATTTAAGGAGAAAACAACGATATCTTAATTAACACTATCTTCTTCTTATGAAGTATATTTGGATTTATTTCTTTTTTCTTTTCTTTTTTAAAAATTCAAATTTTCCAGGTGCTTTGTTCTTAGTTAAAAGCAATAATAACCTTCACAATAGATTGATGTGGAAATTATTATATCACAAAGGCAGGGTCCAACCCCAGGTAGATGTAAGCAGCAGGAGGGGAAGAACTCTGTAGAAAGAGGCACTTTATTTCCATATTAATTCATTTTTAAAATATAAAAGACAGCAGCAATAACAGGTCACATACTGTTTTAAGGAATATTTTCTGTATTTATCCCTTAAAAGCAGTCCTGAAATTGATTTTGTTGTAGATTTTTCTCATTCAAAACTCTGCTACATATTTTCATATAGAAAATGGGTTTGTTCATAATTTTGCTTGGCATGTATATATTTAATCCAATTTTTATAGAATAATTATCTCTTCTAGAAGAGATGAAATATGTATAGTATAGTACTTGAATATGGACTCATCTAGAAACCACTTATCCAGAAAAAATTATTTAGGTTTTTAAGTGCAAATCTTGCCAAGTGCAGAAAACTAAAGCATAATATACAGTCTCTGCTAGAATGCACTGGCAAAAAAGTACCATATTTTTCGCATATAAGATGCACTTCCCCACCAAAAAAAAGTGGGTGGAACTGTCTGTGGGTCTTATAGAGTGAATGTTGCCGAAGCCCCTCCCACCCCCCTTCAGCCATTTTTTGCCTCCATGTGTCCCGTTTTCAGCCCATTCCAGGCAGCGTGGATTGCCGCTGCTGCTCGCCACCACCATTCACTGCCAGCAATAGGCCGCCTGGAATGGGCTGAAAACAGGACATGCAGAGGCCAAAAACGGTATGGGAGGCTGAAAACGAGACGTGCAGAGGCTGAAAATGGGACATGCGGAGGCTGAAAATGGAACATGCGGGGGCTGAAAATGGGGTGCATGGAGGCCAAAAATGGGAGGCACGGAGGCGGTGACAGTAGCGATGGAGAGCTGCAATCAGCTGGAACAGCTGATTGGCGGTATTCCAGGAAGCTGACCCAACCGCCAATCAGCTGCTCGTGCTAAATCAGGCTGCAATACCATGCTGAAGCTGACTAGGCTGTTTGGTGTTTGCTGCAAGGATGCTAGCCAGATTAATACCGATGGATGCCGGGAGGCAAAGGCAGATTTTTTTTCTTGTTTTGCTCCCCAAATGCTAGGTGTGTCTTATGGTCCAGAGCATCTTATAGTGCAAAAAATACGGTAATTAACTATATTCTGAGACTACTATTCCAGTGTCAAACTAGGATGTTTTTTCTTGATTAGAAAAAACAGATTTCTTTCTGTATCTTAAAATAAGTATTATGGATCTCTCATACTGAGGCAACAAAAATAGATTTTGAGTTGTGTGAGTTGTACTTGTATTGATTCAGGTATTCGAAGACCATTATAATATGGCCTGAGAGCTTGATTGGTGAAGTGATTAAACCATCAGACTAGAAACTGGGAGGCTGAATTCTAGTCTCTCTGTAGGCATGAAGCCAGCTGATGATTTGGGGCCATTTACTCTCTCTCAGCCCTAGGAAGGAGGCAATGGCATACTACTTTTGAAAAAAAAACACATTGTTCTAATCCAGGCAATTGCCAGGAGTCAGCACTGAACTGAAAGCACAAAAAACTAACAAAATGTCTCTATTCCTTCTTTTCTTCTGAAAACTAATGAGCTCAGGATCTAAGACATGCTGCAACGGTTGTAAGTGAGAAAAATGGTCACAAGTCACTTTTTCAGTGGCGTTGTAACTTTGAACGGTCATTAAATGAACTGTTGTAAGTCGAGAACTACCTGTATTTTTGAGCACCGAGTAATATTCCATTTTCAGTATTTAGCAGCAGAACTTTTTGGAGAACTCAGAAATACATCATTTTACCTTCACTATTTTTCTTCAGAAGATTTCTAATGCCAGTCATCGCATTTTTGAACTAAAACAGAGAACGGCAAAATCAGATAAATAGATATACCTCAATCTGCATATTAGTCCAGGTGTTGCAGAGCAGGTGAGCTTGAATTAGAATTTGCAAAAGAATTCTTTAATTAGTTCATCCTTATGCAAAGATTCGTCAAAATGGGGCAAAGGAATGTGAATCAGGATGACTTCAGAAATATCTGCTTTCCCTTTGATTTTCCAATATGTAAATCAGGTGATGCTCATAACAATTTTGAGATCTCTGGATAGGATGTTCTTTTGTAGTATAATGCCTTTCCAGATAGCTGTTATCTCTGTTAACTGTTATATAATAATAGTCATCACGATAGAAGCAGCTGAAATAGAATGTATTTAAGCAGCATCACCTGTTCCACTTTTGATGGAACACATAATGCTACTGATTTGGAATTTGGCATTTTGTAATAGAGCTTTGTAACCGTTACTTGGCACACTTTGTCTCCTGGAGATATTTGACGGAACCAAAATTATGTCTTGGAAAATGGAAAAAGTGTTGCCTTTTAACATGTAAAAAATATTTTTAAAAGCATACAGATTGCATCTATGTATATGAGTGCAATAAGTTGAATACATCATTCATCAATAACACCCATTTCATGTAGTGGCAAAAGCTATGCCAATTTTGTTCAGCTTACATGACATTTCAAGGTAGAAATCCTAAGTTTCAAACAAATCACTTGATCAGCAGAAGAATGTTTGAAAAGAATGCAAATGAAAAGAGGACAAAGAACAAGGGAAATTGTGTACAATGCAAAATGAGTAAAATTGTCCTGCTGGCAAGGAAGCCAATTAGAATTATGTCTATCGACTTTGAAAAGCATTAGAATCTTCACTAGCAAAGCTGGGAGATTGTGTTATCATCATGAATGATTATAAGAACACATCTCAACAACTTTAATTCTGACAATTGGTGGAACTGTTTCAAAATTTCAGTCACCACATTTAAATCTGCAAAGATCTCACTCTCTGCCTAAAATCTGCAGCAAAATAACTTGAACAAGCATTGATTGTCATATTGATAGGGGAAGTTATTGCACTCATTTGGGAATCATGGCAGAAGTACACTTTTCTTTCCTTAGCTATTATGCATCACTTCTGATTATATGTCATTGTGTAAACCTAGAATAATGTACACTTAGTTTTTTTATGCATTAAATTATAATCTAATTTTACCACATTGGTAAATGATATGATTTACACTGAAATGATAAACTAAAGTTACACTCTACAGAAAATCAAATTATTTCAAAATGAGGACAATTTTGGAATCATTGTCTTCAGCTGTATAAACTCATAGCCAAAACTGGTTGTCTGAATGATTGAATCATCTCAGTTGTTTAAGTGCCATCCTGAGGTTGCTTACTGGGGTGTTGTTGTTATTTATAGGAACATATTCCTATAAATCACCAAGAATCCAACTTGTCTCAAAGATGACTTTTGACTATAAATATTCTTCATACTTTTTAAAAATCTGTTGCATAATATAATACATTTAACTATCAAAATAGAAGTCTGCTACTAGTCTTGTACTTAGGATATAACTTTTTTTTTTTTAATTTGATTTATATGCCGCCCTTCTCCGGAGACTCAAGGCGGCTTACAATGTGTTAAGCAATAGCCTTCATACTTTTGTATATTTATACAAAGTCAGCTTATTGCCCCCACAAACTGGGTCCTCAATTTACCTACCTTAGAAAGGATGGAAGGCTGAGTCAACCTTGAGCCTGGGGAGATTCGAACTAGCAGTAATTGCAGGCAGCTGAATGATAATAACAGGCTATTAGTCTGCTGCGCCACCAGGCTCTCTTTCATTGAATTTCATTGAACTTTCATTGAATCAGCAGGCAAGTAGCAATAACAAATTAATTTTCACCTTAAACTTGGCTAATACTTATCATTTCTGGAAGGTGTATTTGCTTGATAGTATGCTTATTTATGTGGACATCCAACTTGCCATTGAAATTATGGCTAACTAAAATAGGGTTAAACAGAAAGCAACTTACAAATAACAAGAGTAATGAAAGCCAAGGTATAATTGAAGGCAAACTGCAATCACATTTATAATCCCAAACCCAAACAGCAAGATAGACATTATGGTTTGGTAGTACTGGAAAATAGTAACAACAACAGCTATAAAGCATTTATTAAGTGTACAGTATTATTCCTTAAAGGAAGCTTTTGGATTCTTTATTTTTAAAACCTCTTGCAGTGGAGCCAAGTGTTCACTATATATATATATAAACAATTTCAAATGTAAATTTGAATAAAAAAACATTATACATTTGCATTTATAAAATAGGAATATAAAGAACAGCAAGAAGCTAAAACATTTAAGGGTTCATTTTACTGTAGAGTATACTTATAATGAAAGAGAGAAATTGGGGCCAATTCTACAGGCACTGTTATGTGTTTTTCAAAAGCTTGCTGTTTCCTTTCCCTTGGCCCTGTGGATGTTGTCTTTGACCTTTTTTTAATTCTGTGCTTTTCCTTTATTTCTTTTTGTATTCTCTTCTCCTTTTCCCTATACTTCTCCTAAGAACGATGGTTGGTTGCCAACTGTCTTAGGAATTATTTTCCATTTGGCTACTTTCCCTGTCAATCTTTGCTGCATTGAATACCTGTATTCTCTTCTCTTTTTCCTCTTTTTGTCTTAGTGGAAATACAGAGAAATGGTGGAAATGCAGTGTCAAGACACTGTGCACTGATTTAATTTCTTTTAATTGTTGTTAGGACCTGTGTCCACAACGACGGTCATAGACAACAAGAATGGATCAGTTCCTGTGCCGCATATGAAAATGTCCAAGAGATCAGTATCAGAAGATTTTGCAACAACCTTCAGTTCACCTGCAGCATGGCTCCTTGTAGTTGCTCTTATCGTTACCTGGTCAGCAGTGGCTATTGTCATGTTTGACTTAGTGGATTACAGAACCTTGGCAGGTAATATTCATATATGCTGTAAAATATGATAGATAGATAGATAGAATTCTTTATTGACCAAGTGTGATTGGACACACAAGGAATTTGACTTGGTGCATATGCTCTCAGTGTACATAAAAGAAAAGATACATTCGTCAAGAATCATAAGGTACAACACTTAATGATAGTCACAGGGAACAAATAAGCAATCAAATCATATTAGGAAACTGAATATAAATCATAAGGATACCAGCAACAAGGTTACAGTCATACAGTCATAAGTGGGAGGAGATGGGTGATAGGAACAATGAGAAGATCAATAGTGACTAGTTTGACAGTGTTGAGGGAATTATTTGTTTAGCAGAGTGATGACATTTGGGAAATATAAGGTATTTATGCATGCAGCAGAATCTAGTGAGAAGTGACATCTGGGAACTTACTAAATTATTGTTCTCCACAAATTAACAGAGTTATGAACCAAACATAAACTGTTAACACTGATTTCAGTTTTAAAATACCTGGGATATCTGGTTATTCTATAACACCTTGTTTCTTTTTATTTAATTATTTATCAAATATATAATATATGTATATTATTGTCCACCCTAGATTGTTCAAGATTTTGTTTACAATCTTTAGCTGAATAAAATTCTATCCTCCTTTCAGACCTGCCTCAGAAACACAAAGAAATGTGGGGGTTGAACTGAAGCACATGTGTATGTTAATCTCAAAATATTCTTTTTGTGAAGAACTGAAAGATCTTAAAACTTGTTTAGCATTTTCATTTAGTTTTTAGATGCTTGCATAACAAATAGTACAATGGAAAAGTTCTTCTCTGGAATGTTTTCATTTCCTTGATTTGGACTACAATATAAATAAAACTTTTTAAAGCTAAAAAAAATAATACTAAAATACTTGACTAAGGCCAAAGAACTGTGAGGAACAAGGAAGACAATTCTATATGTTTGAATTCTGTGAAAATGTAATTTACATTTAATTCAATTAATGTGTTTTTTTCTTTCTATATCACAATTTCTCTCCTGTGAAATTAAAAATTACAGTTTGACATGAGCTTTTGGAAGGATTTTGGGATGTAGTAGGCTGTAATCTTTTAGTATGGATGATGATTTCTACAAAAACAACAATGGGCAATTCTATAATATCGGTATCATTACTGCATTGCCCATTGCTGGTTCTGTAGATAAGAAGCTATTGTCTAGTCATATGTTAGATCCAATCCATGGGCCAAAACTTACATGAATGTCCTTATCCTTCTTCCCTGTCATGTTATCCAAATTTCATCCCAATCTGTGCCTAAAATAGCTTAAGGTTATCCTTGGCTTCTTTGTATTTTCATCTTCTACTGACAATTTTGCCATGGTTAAAATCTAGTATCTTCATTGACAAACTGGTTGCTGACATGATCAGACCTTGAAATTTGCTCAGCCCTTTTAAGAATGCTTTCAGTTTCTGAACTTATTATACCAAAAAATCTGGGTGCTATTTCATTGTGTGATAGAGGAGAATTTTTTTCTGAATATGCAAATTTCCAAACAATTCTGAAATCTGCAAAATTCAACTGAGCCATAATTATCATTGTTTTATATTAAGTGAGTCACAGATTTGTCTGGGCAAATTTCATTTAGCTTTCCAGTCTTAATGGGACCACTGAGGATTAAACTTTGGTCTCCAGTTCATTTCTGTGCTTACTAAATAATAACGAATCATATTTTAATGGTTTGAATAGACTGCACAAAGATTTGTTTAGTATTTTTTCAATTATATGTGAAAGGGGAAATATATTTAATGCCATAAAACAACTGCAAATGAGAGTAATTTATGCAGGCAGGATAGATATCTTCTTTGCTAATAATGGCAAACTGTTACTGTATATGTGTGAATTCTCTTAAATTATTTTTTTCCAGATATTGAAGATAGGAAACACTTTCATTAAATCAAATTTAGCATCTGGGAGCAGCATCTGGCGGAAAATGCAGCAGTCCATGCATGTGCCTCAGTGTGTGCATGTTACACATTAGCTAAATGAGCTTCATTGGTTGATGTCTCTGGCCAATGGAAGACCATTTCCCCCTGAGCTTCAATTGACCCAAATCTACTGACCCTTCTAAAGGCCCTTAAGACTGATTGTGTTCCAGGCATGTGAATCATCATTTTAGTGACAATATGTGACATGCCACCAGTGGTGAAATCCAATTTTTTTTTTACTACTGATTCTGCGGGCATGGCTTGGTGGGCATGGCAGGGGAAGGATACTGCAAAATCGCCATTCCCACCCCACTCCAGGAGAAGGATACTGCAAAATCCCCATTCCCACCCCACTCTGGGACCAGCCAGAGGTGGTATTTGCCGGTTCTCTGAATTACTCAAAATTTCCGCTACCGGTTCTCCAAACTGCTCAAAATTTCCGCTACCAGTTCTCCAGAATCTGTCAGAACCTGCTGGATTTCATCCCTGCATGCTATGTTTAGTTTCTTGATTGTTCTTGGTGTAGCTGCATTGTATAATATGTTTTGTATTGTTTTTGCTGCTGTAAGCTGACCATAGCTGCTGTAGCTGCGATGAGCAGTTATATCTGCCCATCAAAGAAACAAGGAATGATAAGAAGGAGAGTGACATAGTTATATACTTGCATCTCATGTACTCTCCTAACACTCTTATTTTCATTTTTCTGAAACCTCCTTTTTTCTTTGAACTACTGTTTTCTGATTCCTCCTCCTTTTTCTCTGAATTTTCTGCCTGGTTAGAAGAAGATGCTCAGTCTTTCCAAAGATCTATTTTTTTTCCCGTTCGCATAGGTTTTTTTAAAAAAATTAGATTAAGAGTTGCATTATATTAGGCAGAAGTTCAAAAGAAGCTACAGAGCTTCAAGTAATCTCCCCTTGCTTTTAAAGAAGTGCATACACCCTCCATTTGACTTATGTGCATGTAGCTGGAGATATAGTTGAGTCTGCTCTAGATTGTGACTAAAGGCGCATTACTTGTCTTCTCCAAACATTGTCTAACAGGGTTGGGGAACTTCTCAGAGCTATATCTATAATTCAAGTGTGGCCTGCTACTTTGATTCCCCCAACAAAATCAGTCTATGGGGGGCTTTTGTCTTTTAGATGAAAGATAGAGAAATTATGAAAGAGCACTCAGAGGTATATTTTTTAAAAAAGGAGAGAGCTTCTGATAATTATGAAACAACACAGATTGTTCCCCCTGGTCTTATAAATAATAATAAAATATAGAGTGCAATAAAAGTAGTGTGCTTCATCTTCTAACAAATCATCATACAATTTAACAGCTTATTTAAATCCATCCTTAAAATCATCAGATTGATTCAGTAAGCCCTATTGTTTACCATAAAGTCATTGCTTGAAGTTTAGTATTTATAGTATTACCTAGAAGCTCAGAATTTGTTCTCATTATCGGTGGGTAAAGTGTTTTTTTTTTAATGAATTCTTTAAATTTGAAAAGTAGAATTAGATACACAACCATTTTGGAGTATGTCAAGGGGCTTTCCTGGATAAGGGCCACTACTAAGCAGTGGGTTTGTCAAAAGGTTTTAGATCTCTGATTTCCTCTGTGGTTGGGGCTTTGATTCTCACAGTTTCTGCAACATTTACTTGCTTGAATTATCATTGCTATAATTGTAAATAGCACAGAAATTTATACACTCATGCACTGTGGTCTGAATACTGATATATAGGAGAACAGTAATCACTGAGGCTAATTCATGGAGACTGCACAATATGGGTAGCCTTGATGTCACATGTTATATTTTAATATATTTGAACTTTCCAGGTTTATTCAGATAATTTGAATACATTAGAATCTTCCTTGTTGTAGAGGTAACCCATGTTCTTCATTGAAACAAATAACTAGACATGCATCGTCTGGCAAGGTTCTTAATACCAATACAAAGTTGATTTAAGACAAAAATGTAAAACAGCAATATGGGAGGTCTATAACCAAGCTGTTCTGATACATTTCTAGCAACAGATGTATTTTGATTTCAAAGTTTGAACTCCTGTAATGCAGCTTTTTACTCTAACTAGTAACTATAAATTACTTTAAAATGTGGTCTTAAAAACACAAAGGAATATCCCTTAACTAAAGACAGAAGGAAATACCCTAGTGAATATTTTAGATGTTCATACAGAAAAAATTGAGAGCCAAAGAAAATGCTGAATTAGAAAGGTGTTGTTTCATCATGTGGCTGATTCTACTAGCTATGGAAAAACAAGTTTGCTTTCATATTTTGAACCGAACTGGAGTTTTTGCAACAATGATATAGGAAAGCTACAAAAAGGTTAATCCAATCTGATTATAAAAAAGTTTGAGAATTAAAGAAAGCTCACTAAATGTGATTATCAAAGAAAATCAAAGCTAATTCAGATATTATTGCATGAAATGGGCAAAATAAACTCTAGAATAATAGTTTTAGTTTTTAATAATTTGGTCAGGTATAGCTCAGATGTTTATATATACACACAAACACACACATATATTATTTGACTTAATCTATCTATTGGATGATTTCTAATATTAAATTGTGGAAACTCTTTTTCAAAACAGCCTAAACTAAATCAGATTAGAAAGATATATAGTCCCAACTTGTTGTAAAAATGAAGATTCAAGCCTATCTAAATCTGAATAACATACGAGTTTTAATTATTACATACCTTAAGAACTCCAGTGAGAAAAATCTATGAAGCTGTAATTCAAATACAAGAAAATCCATATCCAGTTAATAAAAACAACAATAGAAATAAAAAAAAGAATCTAACTAATCAGATACAAACATGAAAGTACCATAAAATATCCCAAACGTTTTTGTTTGAAGACGTTTCTCCATAGACATTTACCATAAAATACGATACATATTCAATAGCTGAAGCAGCTGTCAGAAAGAGAAGTTAAACCCACATCAGGGAGACCAAAATGCCACTTTTAAAAAGCATTGACCTAGCCCTGAAACGCACTAATAAAGGCATCCAATAAATTCCAGAAGTTTC